GAAATTGTGTAGGAGTATTATTTTTCTAATTCTTTTGATTGTTGTTTGGACTCCAATTTTGGTCCTATATCTTGTAGAATATTGAGGTGATTTGTCAAGTTTGATCGTTTTGACTTGCGAATACGTGGTAATAATTTTGTTAAAGTTTTGTACAATTTCTAGGTATGTGTTTATCGCTTTCTATACTTTAGCATATTCATGATACTTAGACTTTTTACAATTTTTATACCATTCATTCTTTTATATACGTGTTCATTTATGAATCACTTTAGTTCCCACCCTTTTTGTGAGTTAGCTTTCCATTGTTCACATATGTTGGAGGCCATAATTCTTGTTTTAACTGGATTTTATTATGTTTAATATTTTGCTTGTGTTGATTGTACGAATGCAAGAAAAGGATCAAGACATTTTTGTTTCATTTTGAGCATAATTACCTAGTCAAATAGTCAATTCACTATGTGAGTGTGTGATCATTAGTAACCCCTTTGAGCTTTTTATCGATATCCATGTTGTATTTGCTAAATACTCGTCTATGAGTGTTTAGTTTCCCTTTTTGCATGGATGTTGATTCGTTATTTTCTTGAACCCTCAACCATTGTTTTGGTATGAATTTCTACCTTGCCTTGGAAAGTGGGGAGTATTCACTTTAATGTATGGTTGAATTCAAGTTGGGGAGAAAAATGATTGTGTACTTATTGATTGATTGCTATGAGGTTGTGAAAGAAAAAGAAAAAGAAAAAAATGTGAAAAAGAAAAGATAGAAAAAGAAAGAAAAAATTGAAAAAAAATTGAAAAAGAAAAACAAAAAGAGTTCGAATAATTGTGTTAATAAGTGATGTGTATTTGTGTGAAACTTGTGGTAAAGAAGAAGTTTGATTGAAATTCTATTGTTTGAAACTTTGTGGAAGTAATTACTCCCATAGATTTAGGCAAGTTTTTGCTTGGATTAGCTTTAGGACTTATCATTTATTTGTTAACCAAGCCACATCACAATCTTGAAAATCCCTTGAGATTCTTGCTTTTATATTTTCAATGTAAATTTTTTGATGAATGCATAATTTAGTCTATTATTTGCAAGATTGTTGGATAAGTGAAAATATCCCATTTTGTGTGTTTTTCATCTATCGATGATTGTGTTTGCTAGGTGTGATTCATTTGTAAACTAGTATTATTTTAGAATGTTTAACATGACTTTTATATTTAGCATTTGTTTCGTGTTTATGTTATAGTCGTAATTTAGTGGTAAGTGTTTACTTTGTATGTACTATTTTTCATTTGAACCATTGCATTTGTTTTCTGTTTTCAAAAACCTGTTGATTCATGATTCTTTGATTATCATTCTTTGTTTCTTTGAGTTGTTTGGCCTTATTTGAGGATAAACAATGATTCAAGTTGGGGAGAGTTTGATAAGGGAAAATTGTAGTTATTTTTGTATATACTTTTTGTTGCACTTATCGGTTCTTTGTTGTTAATATTAGTTGAATAACCACGCTTTTTATTGTAAATACGTTTAGTTGCATTTTTAGTACATATTGTATGGGTTGATTAGTTTTGTATATGTTTTGTAGGTATTTGTTGCACTATTGAAGCATTTAGGAATAAAGTCCAAATGGAGCTCCAAGACGTGCATTTGATCAATAAAGGAATAAGGCAAAAGAGAGAGATCCAAGTGAAGTTTTATAGAGAAAGCAACAACAGTTGTTGGAACTATCATGCATCGCTGGGTGAAATTTCTGTCACTGGGCGACAGTGGGCGAATTTAGAAGAGCATTTTTTATGTTGCCTACTGCCTTTCTTCGTTGTTGTATCGCCAGGCGAGGTATAAAAGTGTCGTCGGGTGAAACTTTATATCGCCGGGCGGTGCGTGCGGAACAAAAATTCTTTATATTTTATTTTGTGTCATTTTTGTTGGTGATGGTTTTGGGGGTGAGTTTTTGTTTTCCGAACTCCATCAACCTCATTTTTATAGTGGATTAGCTTAGATAACAACAACTATGGAGCTTGCTCACGGATGATCTGGGGTGGATTGCTCTTCGATCGACTCTGACAATCCGAAAGATTTGTGGTTCATTTCTCTTCCTCTTTGTGTTTTCTCTATTAGTTGGGTTTTATATTTATTTTACTTTGAACTTATGTATATTTGTCGCCCATGGCGTTATATTAAACTTGCTTTACAAATCTTTGTTGATTGTTGTCTTAGATTTTTGCTCCGTGCTAGGGATTTGAGTTGTTATAGACATATACTGCTTAGACTCTTATCTAGGATGATTATTTGTTATTTTCTGAACTTTACAGATAGATTTAGTGTTGACATCTACTTGGGTATTAGAGCTTAATGCCTCTGTGTGGTTGTGTTGTGCTGAGAGATTGTGAGTGCGATTACATGGTTGTCTTCTGTGTTGTTGAGGAGGTAGAGAGACCATTTCCTTGATGATATAATCAGTCTCTTAATTTGGGTTAGAAATGACCTACATTGTGAGTGATACATAGTGACATTGATGAGTATTGTTAGGTTGAGTGTAAATAGTCAATAGATTTAAGTCTGTGATGAATAGATTATATGTAGGCTTGATAAATTCTTCCTTAGGTTTTACTTTTGTTTACATTTATTTTCTGTTGATATTTTTATTTTCAACCCATTTATCCCCAAACTCATTAACAAGAGATTTGTCGAACGACGATTCAATAATCAATCTTCGTGGACACTATACAATATAACCTATATTACCCGATAAATTAATAACTTACTTTTTTGCTTGCCGCTCTACCGCTGCAACACTTACCAATGCCATTATCTCTAACTATTGATTTCTCCAAAAACACATGAATACAATTGTGACTATTCATTTCCCTATAAGATGAAACATCCTTTGCAGCTTCCCAATATATTTTTTCGTTAAACTAAGTTTTCATTAAATTATAACCTAAAAGCCCAAAATTTGAAATAAAATAAATGAAAAATGTAACAAAAATATAATATATTGACATATAAGCACTATTTAATGCTAAATCAATATGATGCAATTAATGTAATAAAAAGTTCAATATGTTCCTGAAATAAAAAAAATTTAGACAATTAATCAGAGAGTTATACGTGATATTTTTAAATATTTTGATTTTTATAGATTTATAATAGATTTGTTTTTTATGTAGGTTTAAATGTGGTGACAAACAATTGAGACTATTTATTTGTTTATGAGAATCAATTTAAATTTAGAATACAAAATCTCACTTTCTTTTTTGACATCATATATCTTATCTATCCCTCACCGTCTCACATATTTCTCTTTCCATTTTGACCTAATTTCCATGTGTAAAAGTTGAGCATGAGCATAATGTTTCTCATGTAAATGTTAGAAGAATTTCAAGCCAAACACAACCTTAAATTTATCAACTTTGTTTCGGGTCAAAATGAAACTTGGGCTAGGAAAAGAGTAAGGGGTTCAAGGCTTATCGGACTTAACAATATCTGATTATGGCTAATACTTTAAAATTGTGTTCTATCAAACACAAATATTAAAAATATGACACTCACGCTGACACATTAGACTCGTCAATTATAATTTAAAAAAATATAAATTAATTATAAATAATTATAAATATTGATACGAAGGACTATCTTATTCATTTTTCTTTCCTTCTTTTTGCTAAAAATCACATTTTGTGGTTATACCCTTTTCACATTTTGTGGTTATACTCTTTTCACATCTTTTCTTGTAAATTTGATTATTTTTTTGGGTAAGAAAACGCCATAATGGCTTTTGTGTGTGAATTTGCGTAATATGTCAAAAAAATTCTAATACATTATTAAGTTAAATATGTTTTTAATTTTTTTCTTATTAAAAAAATATTTTAATCTTTATAAGAATTTTATTTATACAATTTTAGTTTATATTATTTTCTAAAATTTTTAAAACTGTTTAATTATTTTTAAACTTTTAAATTTTTGAATAATTTTTTTCATACGTGTTAAAATACTATAAAATATTTCTTTATCAAATTTTAAAATTTTTTAAAATGAGATAAATTAAATATAAATTTTTTAAATTTCAAAAGATATTGATGAAAATAATAAAAATCTCGACTTATAAATCAAATTTTGAATTTTTCTTTTCAAATTTTTTTTTATAACGTTCTAAACATGTGTGTAAAATAAATATTCAAAAATACACGTCAATTTAACAACATAATTAAAACTACATATATAATTATTTTATAAAAATTAAAATATATTATATTTTTTTATAAGGACCAAAAATAAAATTTAATAATTTATAGAATGGTTAACCCTAAATTATTTGTTGTTAAAGGAAAGAAAAAGCGTGAGATGTGAAATGGATGTAAAACCAAAAGTGTTTCCTTTCTCAATTTATGTTTTTCTCCTTACATGTTGTTCATTACATCCCTCATTTTTTCTCTACTTTTTTTTAAGTCCGTTTCATATATTCCTCTCATAATTCGTAGTCACCAACCATTTCATACCAAAACCAGTATTCTCACTTCTCCATAAAACCCTCTCCTCTTCCACCAAACTATTCAGTTACCCACAAAAATAAAAACTAAAATAAAAACACAGAAACACACTTCAATTGATATCTCTTCCACCACCACCACTGGTCCACTACAATGTCAAGCACATGGTACTTCTCTTCTTTTCAATTCAATTCAACATCTCTTTCTTTTTCTTTTCTTTTTTTAAAATTATTTTAATGTAACTTTCCTTCACTTAGTTACTTATTTTCAGCAACTATATCTCCCATTTTATAATTAATTAATTTTCTCTTTTTTTTTTCAGAGATTTTTCAGAGAATCTCTGATTTTCTGAACTCAAGTCACTCACTGACTGCTACGCATGCCGCCTACAAATACCTGTCTCTCGATTTTCACACTTCCTGATCCAATTAACTAACCGCACACCTCACATTACTATTTCCACCTCTTTTTTTTGTCGTTTCGTTTCAGTTTCACACTTTCGATCTGAATTCTCAAAATAAAAAGAAATGCTTACATGCATAGCACGTCCGAAGAAACTCGGCGAAGACTCAGTGAGTCACGGCGACGATTCAATTTCAGAATCAAACAACAATGCAAAGAACGTAAAATCGCTGACGTGTCAGATAAAAGACATGGCGTTAAAAGCTTCCGGTGTATACAAACACTGTAATCCCTGCGCACCGGCGAGTCGGTTGAGAACCGGTAATTCGGAGTCGGAAACTGACTCGGAGAAGTTTCGGAGGACGAGGACGTGGGGGAAGGAGATGGAAGCGAGGTTGAAAGGGATCTCGAGTGGAGAAGGAACGCCGAGTTCGTCTTCGTCGTCGTTCGGCGGTGGAAGTGGACGGAGAGTGGTGGTTTTGGAGGAGGAGGAAGGGAAGGAGTGGGTGGCGCAAGTGGAGCCTGGCGTTTTGATTACTTTTGTGTCGCTTACGCGTGGCGGGAATGATCTGAAACGGATACGGTTCAGGTACGTTTTTTTTTACTGTGTCGTATAGTTTGTTACGGTGTCGTTTGAGATTGGTTATGCTATACGTGTGTCGTATGGTTTGTTACGGTGTGGTTTTGAAATTGGATAGTGTTGTTGGAGGTGAATGAGTATGAGATGGACCCTGCTAGTGGTGTAGGGATAATAATGAGTAATTACAATGTTTTGTGGCTTTCTTTCTTTTTTTCTAGTGTCATTATCATGCTGAATTAAAGACACTAGTCTCTACACTCATCTATCTCTATACTCTACTCTCTAGCAACTTTTTTTTTCTATACTTCCTTTTTACATTTTAATTAAGATGATTAACTAAGAAATTAGTGTTATAGTTGTGTGGGTTATTTAAGTTGGACACTAATGAACTATGGAAATTTGGTTTAAAAAAAAAGAAACTATGGAATTATTTTACCAAAATATAAAATTAAGAATGGAGTTTGAGTTGAGAATTGTTTTTCCTTTATTTGTTTGACTTGCATGATTATTGAACAAAAATAATTTAGATATTTGTTTCCATGCATGATTTTTAATTGCATTATTTTCTTTTCTTTTAGTAATTCTGACATTATTCTTATACATTTTTTATCAATTTTTTTAAAATAAATTTATAAATATCAATAACTTATTTAAATTAATATACAAATATTAATATTATACAATCAACATTTTTTTTTTAATTATTGGTATTTGTAGTGAGAAAGTAAGGAACTCACTTATTAATTTGAATTATTAACATTTTTTAATATTATTTAAATTAATATACAAATTATTTTCACTGTGTAAAGTAAGGAACTCACTATAAATATTTTTTTATTTAAATTAAATGTACACAGACAGTGCCATAGATATTTAAAACACAATTTTAAGCAACAAAGTAAAAACGAAAAATTAGTGTAATTAATTTGTACAATATTGTTTTAGATTTATTTGTTTCTCTAAATTTATATATGATGAGTTACTAAAAATAAAAATATATAGCACTACAAAAAAGAATAAAATATTATAAGAAAAAATTTCAAAGTAGATATGAATTAAATCTAAGATCTACATCACATGGTTTGTTTCTTTTTAAAAAGGAAAACCTTGGATTAAACAGCTATTGTTTGTTTCAAGAAAATTAACTATTCTGAGTATAAAACATTTATAACTCGTACTAGTGCAATATTAGGCTAATTTGTTTTTTATGCATGTTTGAATGTGGTGAGTAATGATCCTTCAACAAACAATTGAAACTATTTATTTCTGAGAATCAATCTAAATTTAGAATACAAAATCTCACTTTCTTTTTTGGCATCATATATCTTATTTATCTCTCACCGTCTCGCATATTTCTCTTTCCATTTTGAGTTAATTTCCATGTGGAAAAATTGACCATGAGCATGATGTTTCTCATGTAAATGTTATAAGAGAATTTCAAGCCAAACACAGCCTTAAATTTATCAACTTTGTTTTGGGTCAAAATGGAACTTGAGCTAGGAAAGGAGTAAGGGGTTCAAGGCTTACCAATATTTGATTACTACTAATACTCTAAGATTGTGTTCTATCAAACACAGAAATCGGAAACATGAAACTGAAGTTGACATGTCTGGCTCACCAATAATAATTTAAAAAATATAAATTAATTAAAGATAATTATGAGTGTCGACTGAAGACTATCTTATTCATTTTTCTTTCCTTCATTTTGTTCAAAATCTGAGTGTCTAATTGCTTTCTCCTAATCAATTATGCTCAATTATTTATCCTTATCCTTGAAGAATCCTTAGTCCAATTATCTAGTGTCATAAGTGATTGGTTATACCCTTTTCACATTTTTTGGTTATACCCTTTTCACATTTTCTTGTAAATGTGATTATTTTTTGGGTAAAAAAACGCCATAATGTATTGTCAGTGTGAATTTGAGTATTATGGCAAAAAAAAAAAACTCTAATAAATTGTTTATTGTTAAAGAAAAAAAGTGAATTGTAAAATGCATGTAATACACAAGTATATGCATAAACATTTCTAAAATTCACATACACCTTTTCCCTACATCAGTTCTACTTCTATTTTCTTTCTCAATTTATGTTTTTCTCCTTACATGTTGTTCATTACATCCCTCATTTTTTCTCTTTTTTTTTTGTCTGTTTCATATATTCCTCTCATAATTCTTAGTCACCATTTCATACCAAAACCAGTATTCTCACTTCTTAGCCCAAACCAACCATGCAATAGTCCTTCCTGTATTCACAAAAGGACTTTAGTGGAGCCCAAACCCTCCTTTTTTTGAAGTTTCACGCCTTTGCTAAAAGCATTCCCAAAAGTGTTCCAAAAGAAAAACTTATTCTGGCTCCAAAGTAATTTGTGGGTCAGGGTTAACAGTGTTAGGAACCTTTAAATTTGGTTTTGTCTTTTGGTCGGAAAAGGTCTTTTGTTCTCTTTTCAAATCTCTTCAGGCCGAATTATGTGACTTTGTCATCCTATAATAACAGTTTTTGTCTTTTATAATGCAATTTGTGAGGTGTGTTCTCATAATCTTCCACTCCAAAACTGTACACAAGACAAAATGTGAACCTAGGTGGGTACAAGGGACCTAACAAAGTGATACATAGATAACGCTGGCTATAGTAAAGTTGGGATTTAGTGATTAAAACATATCTCCTACTTAGCCATTAAGTTATAGAATTCATTGACCCGTTAAATCAACTCAGTTGGTAGCTGTGCATGCATGGACATTTGATTATAGGAGCGCAGGTTTAAACATGCAATATCACACTTACTACTTAGCTATTATAAAATTTATTGTCCCATTAAATCAGCTCAGTTGATACTTGATAGCTGCGCATGGACAATTATTCACCTTTAACCGGTTATTGGTCCTACATATCACACTTATTGGCTGGAATTTCACCATACTGATTTTTAAACTAGATAAAAAGGATTTATAAAATTAGTTAATTAAATCTCTTTCAAAGAATTCTTCCAAAGTTTATGATTTTGAAGTTATGGTCTTGTACTCTTATCTAAGTTTCGTATTTTTGTCTTTATATTTTTTATCTTATCGTAAAGATAAAAGCACGCATGACATTAGTGTATTTTGGTCCTACATGATGACTTGTGGTGCAATCACTACCATTATGTTGCTGGTGGGTGGGTCATTCCATATATGATTCTGTCTTTTTTATCCTGAATTTCAGATCACAAATTTAAGAAATAGTGTGGTCTTAGGCTTATATTAAAACGACTAAAACAACCAAATCATTTCATTGTTTGGTGCGAAATTAACATCAAAAGTTTGGACCCACCTGCTTTTGATTGCCTAGACAATTCCATTGTATGGTCAATGGTGACCTTAAACAACTTCATTTCCACAAAGCATGATCTGTTTTACTAAGAATTATTCTTCTTAGAATTCTTTGTCAAAAAGCATCTACTTGAGTAGCCTTTATAATCCATATCAAGTTCATACTCCACTAAAAACTGAAAATTTATCTAAGAATCTTTTGTGAGAAAAATAACAATTAAATTTTAATGATAAATTGGCAACAAATCAGAATTATTTGAATTCAAGCTTAGAGTCTAGTGGACCACATAGTACTATGGTTTTAAATTTCATCATCATGGTGGTTATGCTGCAAAATTTGATATTGTTGTAAAATATGGACAAATGTGGCTAATGTAACTGCAATCGCAATGCTGTTGAAGAGATATCTAAAATCTGTATATAGCATATGCAATTACAATTGTAGACTGTGATTTAAAGCTATACTCGTAATTTTTACACATAGGAAAAAGGCTTGGTTGTTTTCATGACATTGAAGAAATAGTGTTTCGTTTGAACGCAACTTCATAGAACAAAAAAAGTAAGACATAACAGATTGGCATGGACAACAGGATCAATGTAGTTGTCCATTTTTTTGTTTGGGGTAAATGACTTTTAGAATTTTAGTTGGGGTTGCTCCTTTTACGAAAATCAATGGTTTGATATGTAGACTTAACGACTTCATTATTGTTCACATTTCATGTATAGTCGCGATACATTTAACAAATGGCAAGCACAAAGATGGTGGGCAGAGAACTATGACAAAGTCATGGAGCTTTACAATGTTCAAAGGCTTAACCGCCTAGCCTTCCCGTTACCAACACCAGCAAGATCTGAAGACGAGGTAAATTCTTACTTTGCCATTTTGGTATCAGATGCATAGTTATTTTAGTCTCTAAAATTGAAGATTGATGAATGCTTAGTCATTGAAATCGGCAAAACCGATATTGAAATTATAAATTATTAGTCATTTTAGTCATAGTCATTTTAGTCTCTAAAATTAAAGATTGATGTATGTTTCGAGTTTTAACTTATAAAGTTGAGATTTGCTGTTTCTGATTTCTACATTTATGTGAATTGAAATCAGAGTTCAAAGCGTGAATCAATAGCAGACAGCCCAGTGACACCTCCACTAACCAAGGAACAACTATCACGCAATTTATACCGACCAACAGGAACGGGAATGGGATACTCATCCTCAGATTCCTTCGATCAACACTCAATGCAGTCCAAACATTATCAGTATGACTTAAGTGGCATGAACTCAACTCCAAAGGTTTCAACCATTAGTGCTGCAAAGACAGATATATCATCAATGGCTGCTTCTATAAGAAGTAGCTCTTCCAGAGAAGCTGATCGCTCTGGCGATTTATCGATGAGCAATGCTAGTGAACCGGATAGTGAATGGGTTGAGGAGGATGAACCTGGTGTTTACATTACTATCAGGTCTCTGCCAGGAGGTAAAAGGGAGATCAGAAGAGTCAGGTTCAGGTATGCTTTTGCAACAATGTTGCCACGCCCAGTTTTTGTTTCATAAGCATGTTATAAATCCAGGAATAGAGATTGGTGTCTGAGTATACTTTTTCAGTGTTAAACAGTATGAAATTTATTTGTTGATGTTTATTCATATGTGGTGCAGTCGTGAAAAATTTGGGGAGGTGCATGCTAGACTATGGTGGGAAGAGAACCGCGCCAGAGTACATGAACAATACTTGTGATATTCATCAAAAAGGATTTCCTGCTAATGGTTTACAAAAAGTGGAGGAGGTGTTACTTATTAGTTTTGTTTAGTTCTCTATTTGCTGCGATTAGATACCGAAATCCAAATGGTGCTACTTGCACCTCTATTATTTTGCGGGTTCATATCATCTTCATGCTTTCTACTAGTTATTCTCTTCTGTGGGAATTAAATTTATTTAGCTTCTATTAGTTAGAGGTACAGGTGAATCAATCAATTGTTGTCATGAAACTTATGAGTAATGGTTGTAAATTATATAGCTGTTGAAATTGGGATACAAAGAATGAGTCGTGTTGCTCATTACTATTTTGTTCTTTAAGCATTCCACTTGCAACTGCTATACCTGTTTTGAGCTAGTAAAATGAAGAAAAAACTATGAATTAAGTCCTCAGATAATCACTTTCTTTACAATTTAGTCTCTAAATTATATAGTATATCAAGTAGTTTGTATAAACGTAATGCCCTTACTAAACCACCAACTGCGGTTATTCCGCAAAGACCGGATAAGGCGCATCTATCTAATAGCGGACGATTTTCGGCAACTTCGGAGCCCCGCCTGAGAAAGAAAGAATACATTCCTCACGTCTGCACAGGCCTATGGGCTTTAGCAAGCCCCTTTCCAGTCGTGGCGTATCATTTCAAAAAGTTAAAGGCATATCACCGTCAGTGCGCTGTCGAAAAAAGATCAGTAGGATGATATAGGAGCATACCACAATAAGGATATTTTTGTACGCCTAGGCAGTGACTCTTCCATGTCAAATAGTCTTCCAGTTGAGATTTACGGTTCCGAGTTAGATTCTAATTGCGAGAAGGAGGAACTTAACTCCGATTGTGATGGCGACTGCCTAATAAGAATGGAGAATAGGGTAGGAATGGAAAGGGATAACGGCGGATAGTGAGCTGGATCCCCGGGGTCGCTTGGGAGCATCTTCTTGCTCCTGAGGATCATTATTTTATTTCATGGAATCTCAGGTTCTGAAAGAACGTAGTAAGTGGTTAACTTTGTTGACTCGCTCGTTAGAGGAAGTGAACGGTTGGCTCGAAGAGGGAAGAGATGCGCCGGGTCTTTCTCTTTGAATGGCGGAGATAAATGGTAACAAGTCAATAGACTTGCCTACAGACCCTACTTTTCTAAATCATACAGGATAGGGGAAAACTTAACTTCCTTCCTTGCCGTCAACCGACCTATAGTCGCTGAGATAGTATTGGTTCTATTCATCTGACCGTACTTCCATCCGGTGTTAAAGCTGCGGAGCTCGAGGGATGTCTTTAAAAAGGTCAAGTTTTTTCTTTTTTTAGACGCGGTCGAAAGAATACCTGAGAGAAGGATGGGCACTTCTAATAGTAGGCGTAGGCCCGTCGCCCTAAAACTCATACCTGTGATTAATAAGAATAATTTTCTGAGTGTCCCCGCCCTTCTTCCCGTACAGAGTCTGTCAAACTCAGCTGTCTTAAACGACATTGGCGCGGTACTCTGATCTGATCTACTCATATCAGAGTACGCCACTCGTGGTCAGAGGAGAGCCTGGAGGAGAATGGGAGAAAGCTTTTAGTTCGCCTTCATTCCATAGCTACTTAGTACCTCGGATCCATTCTCCTTTGAGAACTACCACTCAAGACTGTTGGATCACTCATCAATGTCATCAGCTTAAAATTATGGCTTTGGGGAAGCCGATGCTAACTTGGCTGACACTGACACCGAGAGGAAAAGGCTTCTTTATGGCATTCCCGGCCTACGAGGTTCTTAACTAAACTCTGGGATTTGATAGATAGCAATAAGTTCCGCCGTCACACTATCTGGTTCAGGAAGTTCTCTAGCTTGATTTGAGCTCATTGGCTCACCAAGAGTCATTCCTTTATCGATGGGCAATAAAATCAAAGACAACTGTGAGGCTGCAGAGGGGAAGAAAGGATAAATTGAGAATAGAAGCTTTACGTCACCGGTTCGTTAGTAAACTGGGACACGTTTAGCATGGGTAAAGGTCGGTGAGAAAGTGATGATTTGAGGCGTGAATTCCACCAAGCACAACTCCGGCAGGGGAAGCTGTAGCTTATGGGGTGGTCGTGGTATAGCCTTTATAGAATATCCTCTTCCCCAGGAAAGCTAACTCAATAGGAATTATCTCTCTCGCCGATGCTATTGAATCCGCAGCTGTTGGTCTTGGTGGTAGGGATATAAGACCAACAGTGGCTGTGTAACTCCCCAATACTTCAGCCCATGTTTCAAGAGGAAGGTCTATCTTTCAGCTCCTCCCTAAAAAGTGGAATGTACTTCTTCCTTTCACTTACCGTAGGGTATGAGAGTGGGTATAGGTTTGAGTACGGTGTACTAAACTCAATAGCTACAATAAATCATTGCTTGAGTTTAGGGCTGTGTAGCCTGGTGTTTGAACCTTCCTCTCACCTTCTCCTTGGCCTTTTCTCATGTGCGCTGGTGATGGTGCCTTACTAGAGGAACGTTTAGTGAGAATTGACCTCTCCCTCTACCTCTGTCACTTCTTGTGGCACTATAAAGCGATAAGGACAGATGTTTTACCCTGGGTCAGGGGGTCTCTTCCTACTGCAACTGGTGTTTTAAAAGCTCCATAAAAGAACCTAACTCCTGGGCCTGTGCAGACTCTTGGCGAGGCTGTTCCAAGTGTGTAGGCCCCACATGTTGCTCATCTCCCCCTGTTGGTGGTCTTACAGTAGCAATGGACGTAGAAGGAATTCTTTGCATGGCTTTTTTGCATGAGAAGGTTCAATAACATTCACCTTAGTGGGACCCCCCAGCACCATCTTTCCTTAGTCAATACTAGATGGATTCCCTATTGCTATGCTAGCTTCCTTGGGAATACAACCTTGCACTGGTTTAGGCGGTATCCGGGCCCTTTTAGAGGCAACAGTTGACTTCCCCTTTTTGTGGTCCCTCGAATATAAAAAGTCGATATTTTAGTCTCGAGGCTGCTTAAGTTTTTAGAGACTAAGAATACTGAAATAAAGGATACTTCTATAGACATGATTGTTTAAAAGAACATAACGGAATTCCTAAATGAACTTACAACATGAATATGATTTGATCAACTTATTGTTAGGGACCACGTGACAATGGGAGATGCTAAGCGTGCATTCATTTATCACAAATTAAATGGGCTCAAAATATTGCGATTTCTTTTCTCACTTTTATGGTGTGGAATGAATCTTTGAAAAATTCAAAATAGTTTTGGATTTTTTCGGAGATACATCTTCGAACACGTCAAATTTATTTTTTGTCAAAATTTGGTTCGAATATGCAATTGTGAAGTTTTCTGAGGTTGATTCGCCGATATATCTCCAAAAATACACTTGAAACCATTTCACAACAGTTTTATTAAGATGATTTATCATTTAACCACTTAATGATATTTTCAGAGATGTATCTCCGAAAATCTCCAACGTAAAATTGAATATATGACCACCTTACATGATCATCACTCTCACTTCAAACCTCATCCATAACCAAAAACCCTTAAAAAAATCATTTCCAACCAACTTTTCGATTCCAAACGAGCATTATTGGATTTATCACATCAAAAGGGAGCAAAAGAAGCTGCAACTTAAGGTATAGTTCACTCATTTCATCTCTCATTGTTTGCATTAATCTTGTTGAGCGGAAAAATGTTCGTCATGTCCAAATATACATCTGCCATGATTTTGGATTTGTATATCCGAAACTTTTTGTTATTGTTTTTAATTATTTTTCTATTTTGGTTCTTATTAGATATGGTGCACCCGAATATGTTTCCAAAAGCTGATGTAAGTAATGATGTAAAATCAGATATAGTGAAGGATGATGTTAAATCAAATGAAGTGAAACATGATATTAAACCGTATGAAGTGAAACATGATGTTAAACCGGTTCTTGTCGAGATATATGTTGATCAACGTTTCAAAAATGAAAAAATATTTACTACTCGTGAACATATGTTTCAATGTGTCCGTATGGTAGCTAGGAATTCAGGGTTTGGCATTATAATCGAAAGGTTCGACAATGGTTCAAATAAAAGACAACCATTTGTAACCATGAGATGCGAGAGAAGTTGCACGTATGTTCTCCCGATTCGGAAGTTGAAATGTGATGACACCAGAACGAGAAAATGTGATTTTTCTTTTAAATTTCCTGGATATTGAAGGTGGATAAAATATGGAAATTTAATGTGATTTCTGGAATACATAACCATGTCTTGCAAACAGAGCTAGTCGGTCATCCTATTGTATGTCACCTTAAATCGTATTAGAAGAAAATTATTTCGAACATGTCTTTAATCAGAGTGGCGCCAAAGAACATACTTGCAGATTTGAAACGAAAACAACCATAAAGTGTTTCAAATATCAAGCAGGTATACAATACGCGTTATCGAAACAACATGGCGATAAGGGGTCAAAGATTCAAAATGCAACAACTTTTGAAACTTTTGGATGAAAACCACAATGTTTCTATCTACACAGTTTGTGAGGATAAAGTCATTATTCATGACATATTCCAGACTCATCCCGATAGTATTAAGTTATTCAACATTATTCCCAGTTTCCTCATTATTGATTCAACATATGAGACCAATAAGTATAATGTTTCTTCTACATATTTGTTGGTGTTACTTCTACGGAGAAGACTTTATCAATGGAATTTTCATTTTTTAGAATCTGAAAAAGAGGTCAACATTACATGGGCCTTGGAAATATACAAGACTTTGTTGAAGGACCAATAAAACACGCCGAAGGTAATTATCACTGATTGAGACACGTCACTAATGAATTCGTTGGAGTGGACGACACATTCAAGAAAAGAGGCAGAAACTTGGCCGGATCAATTTTTGGAAAGGATGAAAATGTTCACCAAATTGAGCGAGCTTGAAAGAGAATCAAATCAGGAAAAGTTGAAGACTGAACCAATTGTAGATTTATGCAGTGATGGATCTTTTGATGCATTTTATATTGTAATCGATACACTTTTTGAATGTATTATTGTCAACGATGTAATTTTGATATGATTTAATACATAAGTAATATATAACCTCAACAATAATGGTGTAATTATTAATTAAAAATTGTATGGTTTGTTAGATGACTGCAACGTATCTAGAAGGGGGGTGAATAGATACCTAATTTAAAATTCCAGAAATTTTTGGCTTTGAAAGTTTATTTATTAAAGAGTTTGAGCGGAAGTGTTTTTGAAATAAGTCGTCTATACGAACCGTTATTGGAAACTCGTATATGCAAATATAACAAATTGCAAATGGAATGATTATGACAATTTGAATTAATTAGAATTTAATCAAGTAACACGTCATCAATCGTTTGTAATAAGTTACTAACAATACTATTTCCAATGAAAACAATCAAAAGACTAAACAGAATAATTTGTCGAACACTTGGTGAGCAACATATTTTTTAGAGTTTTCCTTTGAGTTAAACAAGCTACACAATTTGTCAAACACTTGGTGTGCTATTAAAGTTTCAGGATTTTTCTTTGAGTTATGTTGATATAAAAAAACACTTATAATCAAAAGTGATATAAGCAAATCAACACACAATTCAAAACAAAAATAGTATCGGAAAATTCCTACACGTCGATAGATTACTCAATGTTATTTGACAAATTAATGTATAAAAAATAAATCAAGTTAAGCAATAAGAGAAAAGAGACACGAGGATCTGTTTATGCAATTCCCCACTTTCGTGGAGACCGATTGATCAGAGGTATATGTTTCATTAGTAGTACTCATTTAATTACTATTATTGATATTGGTGTTACACGTTGTTTTATTGCTGCTGATTATGCAAAGAAGTTGGGTCTTTCATTATCTTCTACGAATGAAGAGATGGTTATCGATACTATAGCTAAAGGATCGGCGACTTCCTCTCTAGTATGTTTGAAATGTCCTTTGTCAATCTTTGACAGAGATTTTATTGTGGATCTAGTTTGTTTACCACTGAGTGGTCTGGATGTGATTTTTGATATGAACTGGTTAAAATATAATTATGTTCATATTAATTGTTACAACAAATCCATTCGGTTTTCTGCTCCCGATGAGAAGGGGAAACTGGATTCTTGTCTGCTAGGCAGTTGAACGAGTTAGTACAGGATGAGGCTCAGGTGATTTCTTTAATGACATCCATGTCTATTGAGTATCAAGATGTAATTGATGAGTTGCCGGTAGTGCGTGATTTTCCTGAAGTTTTTCAAATGACATTACAGATGTGTCGCCAGAAATAGAAGTGGAATTTTCTAGTGATCTTGTCCCAGGTACTAGACCCGTTTCCATGGCACCATACATGATGTCGACATTTGAGTTGACAGGGTTGAAGAAGCAATTAGAAGACTTACTTGAAAAGAAATTTGTGAGACCAAGTGTATCGCCTTGGGGAGCTCCGATGTTGCTTGTGAAAAATAAAGACAGTAGTATGAAACCGTGCGTTGATTACCAATAGTTGAATAAAGTGTCAATCAAAAACAAGTATCCACTTCTGAGAATAGATGACTTGATGGATCAATTGATGGGTGCGCACGTGTTTAGCAAGATTCACCTGAGATCGGGTTATCACCAAATTCGAGTCAAAGATGATGATATTCAGAAGATGACTTTCAGAACTCGGTATGGACATTATGAGTATTTAATAATGTTGTTCGATGTTACAAATGCGCCGGGAGTGTTTATGAAGTATATGAACCGTATCTTTTACACTTATTTGGATTGGTTCGTATTAGTATTTATTGATGATATTTTGATCTATTCTAAATAAAAAGAGGAACATGCTAAACATTTGCGAATTATATTGCAAGTTATGAAAGAGAAGAAGTTATATGCAAAGTTGTCAAAATGTGAGTTCTGGTTAGAAAAAGTTAGTTTTCTTGGTCACATTATGTCAGATGATTGTATTGCTGTAGATGCATCCAAAGTGGATGCAGTGTTGCAGTGGGAAGCTCTAAAATCAATTACGGAATTAGAAGTTTTTTGGTCTTAGCTGGTTATTATAGGAGATTTATTGAGGGCTTTTCTAAGTTAGCACTTTCGTTAACTCAGCTGACTTGTAAAGGTAAAGCGTTTGTGTGGGATATCCAGTGTGAGGAAAGTTTTACTGAGCTAAAGAAGAAATTGATGACGACCCCAATTTTTATATTACCTAATCCTAAAGAATTATTTATTGTGTATTGTGATGCTTCTAAATTGGGCTTAGGTGGCGTGCTCATGCAAAATGATAAATTTGTAGCTTATGCATCGAGGAAATTGAGGATTCATGAAAGGAATTATTCTACTCATGATCTAGAACTAACTGCAGTGGTGTTTGTGCTAAATATCTGGAGGCATTACCTTATGGATCTAGATTTGAAGTGTTTAGCGCTCATAAGAGCTTGCAGTATTTGTTTGACTAGAAGGAGTTGAACATGAGGCAACAGAGGTGTCTAGAATTGTTAAAGGACTATGATTTCGACTTAAATTACCATCCAGGTAATGTTAATGTTGTGGTAGATGCTTTAAGTAGGAAATCGTTACACATGTCTGCTATGATGGTTAGAGAATTAGAATTGATTGAACAATTCAGAGACATGAGTTTAGTCTGTGAGTTGACACCGCAGAGTGTGATGTTGGGAATGTTGAATATTAACAGTGATTTCTTGAATAATATTAAAGAGGATCATAAGTTGGATGTAACACCGATAGATTTGATAGTTGGAAGTAATTAGGCTAAATATAGCAA